CACACACACACTCACAGATACTTCCTTTCAAAGAGTGCAGTATGGAAAAAGTGGGGGGTACAAGGATAACTTTATAGTGGAGAAATGTAACAAACACTACCTCAGTCATGTGAGTAAGCTTAACATTATCAGTTATAAGTTAGATTGACAACATGCACCTTTGATATGATGTAATGAGATGGATGTAAAACAAGATTCAAACGTATCTGTAAGCGACACTTTAGATCCAGAGATACAAATAGGTTGAAACTAAAAGGATTGAAAAAGATATATAAGAAAGTGGAGTAGCTATAGTAATACACCCATTCCGCACTTATCAACATGGTTGGGATCCAAAGACCGGGTCATTATGCAAAAATGGAGGATGACCACATCAGATCACAAAATAGAGGACTATATCATTACCTGTACCAAAAACCAAATCCATTGCTGTCAAGTCTATTCTGACTCCTATTGACCCTATAGGACACAGTAGAACTGCTCCATAGAGTTTCCAAGGAGTGGCTGGTGCCGACCTTTTGGTTAGCAACCCAGCTCTTAATTACTGTGCCACATCATTACACAACTGCCAAACCACTGAGAATCATGGCCCAGCAAAGTTGACACATAACCTTAACCATCACAGCCAACATTACTTTCATCTCTCACTTCAGTGTTCCTTACTGCCAGACCTACATCATTAATGTGCAAAATAGTTGGATAGTGGATGTTTTACTATTGTTGGAAATGTGAAATGTCAGATAACAAAATAGTCAATAAGTGAAGAGTACCCACGCACACAAAAAAACCCCAAACCCATTGCCATTGAGTTGATTCCAACTCATAGCAACCCTATAGGACAGAGTGGAACTGCCCCATACGGTTCCAAGGAGCAGCTGGTAGGTTCAAATTGCTGACCTTTTGCTTAGCAGCTGAGCTCTTAACCACTGTGCCATCAGTGCTCCAAGTGAGGAGCAGACATATGCAAAATAGACTTTGGGGCAAAAAGCATTACTTAAGACAGAGAGGGACATTTTAAAATGATAAAACTTACACCTAATTGGGAAGTTTTAAATATTTTAAACATATATGCACGTAACAATACAGCCCAAAATACATGAAGCAAAAACTGAGATCAAAGGTGTCTTAGTTATTTAGGGCTACTATAACAGAAATACCACAAATAGGTGGTTTTAACAAACAGAAATTTATTTTCTCACAGTTTAGGAGGTTAGAATTCAGGGTGCCAGCTCTAGGGGAAGGCTTTCTCTCTGTCAACTATGGAGGAAGGCCCTTGTCTCTTCTGTGCTTCTGCTTCTGGGCAATCTTCATGTGGCTTGACATCTCTTGTTCCGCATATCTGGGATGCTTGCTTGTTTAAGCTCTTTTATGTCTCAAAAGAGATTGACTCAAGACACACCCTACATTAATCCCGTCTCATTAACACAACAAAGACAGCCCATTCCCAAATGGGATTATAACCACAGGCATAGCAATTAAGATTTACAACACATATTTTTGAAAGGACACAATTCAATCCATAACAGAAGGGAAAATAGTCTATTTAAAAATAATTATTGGAGACAGCAATACACCACTGTGAATAATAGATAGAACATCTAGCAAGTATGTAGAAGACTTGAACAACATTATGAATCAACTAGTCTTAAATGACATCTATAGAACACTCCACCCAACAACAGCAGAATAGGCATCGTATATACAAAATTCTCAAGAATTAACTAAAAATTACTAAAACTAATAAATTCTGCAATATCACAGGATAAATGTTAATATACAAAAATCAATTTTATTTCTATATACTAGTAAGTACACAGAAATCAGAAAATGAAATTAGAAAAACAATTCAATTTATAATAACATAAAAAATAAAATATGTAGGAATAAATTTAACAAAAAATTACACCACTTGTACTGTGCAAACTACAAAACATTACAGAAATTAAAGAAGATCTAAATAAAATGAAACATTACATGTTCGTGGATCAGAAGACTGAATATTGTTAAAATGTTATTTTTATGGACTGAATTGTGTCCGCCAAAAATATGTGCTGTAAATCCTAACCTCTATGACTGTGGTTATAATCCTATTTGGGAATGGGTTGACTTTGTTATGATAATGAGGAAAGATTAGTGTAGAGTGTATCTTGAGTTAATCTCTTTTGAGATATAAAAGGGATTAAAAAGCAAATGATAAAAGCAGAGATGTGGGAAGATAGATGCCAGGCCACATGAAGATCACCCAGGAGCAGACACTCAGAAGAGACAAGGACCTTCCTCCATAGTCAACAGAGAGAAAGCCTTCCCCTAGAGCCGGTGCCCTGAATTTGGAATCTAGCCTTTTAAATAGTGAGAAAATAAATTTGTTTGTTAAAGCCATCCACTTGTGGTATTTCTGTTATAGCAGCACTAGATAACTAAGACAGAATTTGCTACCAGAAGAGTGGGGTGCTGCTCTAACAGATACCTAAAATGTGGAAGTGGTTTTGGAATTGGATAATGAGAAGCTGGAATAGTATTAATGTGCCTGATACTAAAAGCCTAGATTGCCTTGAACAGACTATTAGTAGAATTATGGATGTCAAAGGCAATCTGGTGAGGGCTCAGAAGGAAGACAGGAGCGCTATAGAGAAAGTCTCTATGGTCTTAGAAAATACATATGGCACCGGCAACAGAATGTTGCCAGAAATGTGGATCTTAAATGTGCTTCTGGTGAGGCTTTAAAAGAAAATGATGAACATGTGGTTGGACAACGGAGGAAGGGCGATACTTTTTATGCAGTGGAAAAGAACTTATCTGAATCATGTTCAAATGTTTGGTGGAAGGTAGAACTTGTAAGTGATGAACTTGGATATTTAGCTGAGGACATTTCTAAGTAAGATCTTAAAGGGGCTGCATAGTTCCTTCTTGCTGCTTATAGTAAAATGAAAGAGGAAAGAGATGAACTTAAAAATGAGCTGTGCAAGATGAAAATAGAACTTAAAGATTTGGAAAATTCTGTTGTACAAACTAAGGATACGTGTCCTAGAATATTTACCAACGATGTGGCTTCCCAATCTTTTGTTGAAGAGATTAAGCCTGTGACTGATGAATCTAACCAACTACCACAGCAGAAAATTCATCGCTTAGATTGAATGGGACAGAGACATGTCAAAAGGAAAGAAAACTCACTGTCTCTTGGGATTCTACAGGCAGGAAACAGGCCAAAGGAGTTACATCTGTTGTCCTCCAAGAAAAGAAAAGCACCATCCCTGGAGCAGCTTGGAGATCAGCAGAACTGTTGGAAGGAGCATGAGAAGCAGAGCCTTCTCAGTTTCAAAGCATGGGGCCACGGTCTCCCAGATCTCAAAAGGTGGTGCCACAGCCTCCTAGGTTTCAAAGGATTGGATCTTAACCAACTCTGTTTTGGAGTGTGGTGCTGCAGTTAAGGTGTACCAGGGGATGGGGTCACTGCCCAAAGCTGAGGGGGTGGGGCTTCCATGCCAGGGCTGAGGGGGTGGGGTCACCACACAGTTGGAGTAGGAGAATGGGCAGTCCAAAACTGAGGGAGTTGAGTTCCCATCCCAGTAGGTCTGGAAGGTGGAGCTGAAGCCCAAGGCTAAGTGACCTCTACCCAGAATCCAGAGAGCCTGGCCAACATCCAGAGTCTGGAGGGCAGGGCCACTGCCTAGATGGTCTCAGAGAAGAGAGGATTATTTTCAAGTTTTGAGAGTTAATATAATTTGTTCTGCTGGATTTTGGACTTGCTTGGTGCCTGTTACCCCTTCTTTCCCTCCAGTTTCTCCCATTTGTAATGGAAATGTCTACTTTGTGCCTGTTCCACCATTATACTTTGGAAGCAGGTAACTTGTATTCTAGATTTCACAGGGTCACAGATGAAGAGGAATTTTGCCGCAGGAGGGAATACATCTAAAGTCTCACCCATGTTTGATTTCAGTGCTTCAGAAGATGACATTTTGGACTTGGATTTAAGAATTTTGTGATGATGTGATGGGGTGAATGTGTTTTGCATGTGGCAAGGACATGAATTTTGGGAGCCAATGCATGGAATGTTATGGATTTAATTGTGTCCCCCAAGTACATGTTTTATAAACCCTAACCTCTATGTCTGTGGTTATAATCCTATTTGAGAATGGGTTGTCTTTGTTAATGTTGATGAGGTAGGATTACTATAGGGTATCTTGAGTTAATCTCTTTTTAGATATAAAGGAGATTAAAAGAGATATCTTCTCCCATTACATATTCTGGACATTTTTTCATTTCATTTCCTTTAAGCTGTAGTATCTACTTAGTTGGATTAACGGTGGACTGTTTTTGCATTTGTTTTTTGTTTTGTTCTTAAAAATTGGGAGAGAATCATTCATTCTGTGATTTTGTTAATTGAGCAAAAAGCTTCCATGATTGATTCCACGCTTGAGTGATTTCAGTCTCTAAGACCTAAACCTGAAGATAAGTTGGAGGTGCATGCCATCTGGATCAATGTGGATTCTAACTTAAGGAGAAGAGCAGGGGGCAGGAAAGGCTGAGAGACTGTATTATTTAAATCAGATAAGTTTAAACCCAGTCACACACACACACACATACACACACACACAAATCATATATAATAAATGTATGTGTGTGTGTGTGTGTTTGTATGTGTAGCCCCACCTAAGATGTAAGTAGTGGCTTAGGCAAAGACCAAATTAGTTACAAAAGTAACATAAAGATGCTTCATTTCTCTGCATTTTAATTGATTGTGCAATTCAAAATGCAGGCGAGTTTTCTATCATGGATTATTCTAAAATTGCCTTCAAGTGTTTTTAGTTATATACCCTCCTAGACTGAAATCTAACAAAGAACACATACATGTTGGACACTCAGTAATTAATTTCTGAATGATACACTCATTAAGATGAATTCTCTCCATTTTTAGAAGATGGGAGAACTGAGTTTCTACTGTAATTTTACTGTCGCATGGAGTCAAACATAATAGAAATACCGTGTTTTCTTCCTTTTAGTTGATGAATAATGTAAGCCTTTGGACGGAAAGAAAGTCTCCACTCTTCTGCATGACTCCAGTATTAAAGGAGCATCACCTCGGGGAGAATGGTCTTTGCTCAGAGCAGAGTAGACAGGCACTGCTCAAAGAAGATAAAACACCCCAGCTCAGTAGTCAGAGAGCCTTGATTTCAGACACAGAGAGTCTCCTGGTTTCTGAGGATGAGCAACCCAGTGGAGTTTTCATCTTCAGTGAGGAAAGTGTGTGGTGGCATCCAGCAGTCCACCAAGCACTTGCATTGGCTGCAGGCCCATGAATACATTAGGCTCAAGAGCTAGCCTGCCTTTGCATAAAACTCCTTTCAGAGAAATGATGACAAGAAGTATACTCACACTCCTCTCCCCTCACACAATACCAGACGGGAAATCAAGTTTTTTCAAGAACATGACAGCTGTTAGGTATATTGTTTATTAAACATGCAATTAATCATCAGGAATTTTCACAGAGAAAATCCAAGAATATTTTGGGGAAATTTCATTAGTGGAGATTAATCTTGATCTATCTGTCCAAGAGATTTGAAAGCAGCAATTATGTTTTATTATCAGGAAAACGTATGATCTATATGTATGAACTTCTAGTTGGCTGAGCTCTGGAAGCACATCCCTTTCTTGTTCTAGGATGTTAAAATCCTGACAGAATTTTCAAAGAGAACAGACCTTCCACCTCAATTCTATACAGTAACTGATTACTGTAACTCTTGAGTGCTCAGCCATTTCACTATTAGATTCTAATTTGTTCCACTATAAATAACTTTAAGGTAGATATACTGAATAGGAAAAACTAATAATCCTCGCAGAATTGGTTTACTGAGTTTGAAGGCTTAGGACTATAGACTTGTGGGACAACTTGATCAATTGGCATAACATAGTTTGTAAAGTTTATGTTCTACATCTTAGTTTGCTGAGTAGCCTCTGGGATCTTGAAAGCTTGTGAACAGCCATCTAAGATACAACTACTGGTATCTACTACTCTAGAACACAAGAGAAAGAAGGACACCAAAGACTCAAAGAAGAAACTACTGTACAGCCCACATGAACCACACCCTTATCTATCCTGAGACCAGAAGAATTAGATGGTGCCTGGCTACCACTACTGACTGTTCTGACCACAATAGATGGTCTTGGATAGAATGGGAGAAAAATGTAGAACAAAACTCTAATTCTTAAAAAAAAGCCAGACTTACTCGACCAGTAGAGACTAGAGGAACCCCTGAGACTGTTGCCCTGAGATATCCTTTAAACTTGGAGCTGAAACCACTCCTGGAGGTCAACTTTCAGCTAAATAACAGATTGGATCATAAAATAAACAATATCACAAGTGAGTACTAAGCTCTTTTTAAAAAATCATCTATATAAGAATAAATGGTCAACATTTACACTAAAGCAAAAATAAGAAGGTAAGGGGGGCAGGGAAGCTAGATTAATGGAAACAGAACAACCAGAATGGAAATAATGAGATATTGACAAACTGTAAAAAATGTAACCAATGTCACTGAACAATATGTATAGAAATTGTTACATGGGAGCCTAATTTGCTGTGTAAACTTTCACCAAAAACACAATAAAATATTATATATAAAAAATCTAACAATCTTGTCAAATATCTGTCAAGACTCCACTACCCGATATGTGTGGTCTCCAGGTAGTTGAACATTACTACATTATCAAGTCCAGCATCATTAAGTGAGGGGGGAGAACAGGTATCTAGGGCAAAAGTGCTGATCAGATACAAGCTACTGGGTTTAATGTCCTCAGTAGTCTACATCATGGGTAACCTGTGGGCCTGATGAATTGCACTACATTAAACAAATCAGGAGGCTCTTACCAACCTTGAAAAATAATTTTGACATGATTTACCAGAGAAAAAAGCAAAGCTGTGCAAGACAAGTACGCTACTAGCAAAACTGTCAAAACAGATTTTGATGAAATTCATATTTTTAGTTTATCTCTGTGTGTAAACATGGTTTATTTGAGGTAAAAGTGCATACTATGCTAAGAGTTTTGCAAAATAAAAAAATAATAAATTTCTCTATTTGTCAAACACAAATATTTTCAGGGTGCAGTAGCTTCTTTTAGAAACCTTCCCTGAATCAATTTTGTGAACAATATTTTCTAAACAAGGGTAAAAATTTTCTCCATGTCTGTATAGATTTTAGGGTATCAGAGAGCTGGAAAAACCACAGGGGCCCATGTAAGCCAAGCATTTTTTTTTAATCGTGGTTTAGATGAAGGTTTACAGAACAAACTAGCTTCTCATTAAACAATTAGTACACATATTGTTTTGTGACATTGGTTACCAACCCCATGACATGTCAATACTCTCCCTTGTCGACTTGGGTTCCCTATTACTAGCTTTCCTGTCCCCTCCTGCCTTCTAGTTCTTGATCCTGGGCTGATGTATCCCTTTAGTCTCATTTAGTTTTATGGGCCTGTCTAATCTTTGGCTGAAGGGTGACCCTCAGGAGTGACTTCATTACTGAGCTAAAAGGGTGTCTGGGGGCCATACTCTCAGGATTTCTCCAGTGTCTGTCAGAGCAGTAAGTCTGGTCTTTTTTTGTGAGTTACAATTTTGTTCTACATTCTTCTCCAGCCCTGTCCAGGATCCTCTGTTGTGATCCCTGTCAGAGGAGTCGATGACGGTAGCTCCGGTAATTTGTGATATACGCTTTCCCACTCTCTACCCTTCTTCACCCACACACGGCTCCCTCTGCTTTCTGCGGACACAGTCTCTTGTCCAGAAACACCAGCCCGCACTAGCTGGCTCTCTGAGTGCCATTTGTTGGCTGCTAGTATTGCTTTTTTTTTTCTGCTTCTTTTGATTTCTTACTTGCCTCTCGTCACCTCCTCCTCCTTTCACTCGAGTACCTGGCTCCGTGCGCCATCTTTGCTTCTTCCTGAGGGACTGCAGAGCTCCATTCGAGTGTGGAGCCGCTTCCCGGTCTGGGCTGCCATGCTGGTGGGATCCCGGGGCTTTTATTTATTTGTTTGTTTTGAATTGTTTGTTTGTTTTCTTTTCCTTTTCTTGAGTTGGGAGCCCTTTCTGGCCAGGCGGAGCTGCGTGGCAAGGAGACTCCCCCTCGGCTTCCACAGACATGCAGAGGGATCCCCGAGGGCAATTTTTTTTTTGTTGGTTTTTTTTTCTGTTTTTTTGGGGGCCTTTCTTGTTTTTTTTTTTTAATTTGTTTTGTTTTCTTTTCCCTCATTTTCCCTTTTTGTCTTTCTACATTGCTCAGTTTCTCATCTCTCTATAGCTTCCTTCTCTTTCTGTTCCCTGAATACCTGGTGTTGTATACGTCTATGCCTTCTAGCCAGGCTGTACTGCAACACCTGAGAGTGACTTCCCCAGACCTCATAGCTGCACCAGTGGGATCCCTGGGATCTTTGTGGTTCTTTAACCTTTCTGATTTTTATTTATTCATTCCTTTCTTTTCTTCCACTTCCCCTTTCTGTTTTTCTCCATTTCATAGTCTCTCATCTCTCCACTCCAACGGCAAGCTCCCCTAGCATTCTTTTTTGTTTATTTGTTTGTTTTTGGCTCCTGTTCCTCTCTCCTCTCTCCCATATCCATCTTAGCTCCACACATAACAATCTCCCCGCTGCATCCTGCCTACCTGCACCGTGCACTTGACATCACACCACCAAGCAGCACAGGCACGGCCTACTGGAACCTGCCCTGCACTGATTACCGACCCGCTCTGGTGGCTGTAGTAAGTGCCACAAACAACCCATCCCAGTAACCCCTCTTCAGCTAGACCTGCCCTGCCATAACATATCTGAGTGACTGACCCTGCCAGTTGGAGAAGGAGGGGAAAAGTATTGTGCCCACAGACAAGCAAACAACAAAGAACACACAGTCCGCCTGCTCAGACATAGTCAAATTAAAAAAAAAAAGGGACAAAACAAACAAATCTACAATCAATAAACGAGAAAAATAACTACTGAATGCCCCGAAGACAGCAGACAATATCAAAACATTTACAAAAACAGGACAGGATGGTTCCAGTAGGGGTCCAAAATAAACACCAGATGACTCTCCTGTGGAGGAAAATGCACTAGAACTACCTGATAGGGAATTCAAATCTCTAATACTCGGAATTCTCCAAGAACTTAGGCAAAAAGCTGACAAACATGAGGAAAAAATAGACAAATTCATGGAAAATACAGACAAAATAAATTCACAACTAGAAATTATACAAAGACAACAATTAGAAATCCAAAAGATTATTAATAGTAGATAAATGTTACATTTCTGTAACTGCTTATATTTAACAACTCTGCTTGCAGATTGTAGTGCTCAATCGGTTTTGCTCTATTTAGATCTTACGCTTTGCAGTGTATCTTCTTTGCCAAGAACAGATCAATAAGGTCATGTGAGAATGGATGAAATGTTGTTTTTTTTTTTTCTTTTTTTTTTGCAGTTACTTAACTTTAATAAATGAAAGAGAAGCTGGTGTGCAGGAAGCTCAGCACTGCTGAAGACAGTGCTGGTTGTATACGAGCCCATAGGAAAACCTGCCCTATCGTAAATGGGTGTGTCTGGGCTGCCTTTGGAAACCTTGGTGGAGTAGTGGTTAAGAGTTGTGGCTGCTAACCAGAAGGTCAGCGGTTCAAATCCACCAGGCATTCCTTGGAAACTCTAGTGGGCAGTTCTACTCTGTCCTATAGGGTTGCTATGAGTCAGAATCCACTCGATGGCAACAGGTTTTTTTTATGGGCTGTCTTTGAATAGCCAGAAGGGCCCAGTCTAAATTCAGAGCAAGAGAGTAGTTCAAATTAGAGGTAAATCATTTGCATTTAAACAGCCCCAAGGAAGAAAGATTCAAAATAATGTACCTATTAGAATCTAATTATGAGTGTGCCTATTCTAGAATTTTGACAAGAAAACTCTGTGCAGCACAAAAAAGTAGTAACTTTAGTTCTAGCTATGGTGGAGATTTGTTATTTTCTATTTATAATGAGTCATGCTATGCCATGCAGTTGCCATGAAGTCGACTCTGACTCTTGGCAACTCCATTGTATGTCAGAGTAGAACTGTGCTCCATAGGGTTTTCAAAGGCTGATTTTTCAGAAGTAGATAGCCAGGTCTTTCGTCTGAGATAGTGGGTCATAAACAAAAAACAAAGAACAAAACCACTGCTATCGAGTCCACTCCGACTCATAGAGACTGTATAGAACAGAGTAGAACTGCCCCATAGGGTTTC